GGTGGAGCCCGGCTGAAGACGTCTCGCACCACGTCCCACCGCTCCCTGAGTCGGAAGGGGGCCGGACAAGAAAACCACGTGCGCAGGGCAGGCGCTCGCCAACTGGCAACTGTAACTGGTCAGGGCAAGCGAAAGCTGCAAGGGAGCGCTGAAACACTCCCTGCGTCCGCGGACGATCAGGTGCGAGCGCAGCGCGCAAGGCACCGCCCGCCCGCTGTTGGCAAGACGGAGGCGCGATGAAGTAAGGGGAGGGTTCGAAGCTGGCGCGGCGGACGCAAGCTCGTGATAAGATTGCACAATGGCCTGCTTGCGGGCCCAGCACGGTGCACACCACGTGCCGCTGCTGAGAGCGGGGAAGCTCAGAGACTCTTGGGCGGCGGCTTCCAATCGCCGATACAGCGTTGCCAAGTCGTGCCCAGCGCAACGGAAGCGCATATCCATGCGCATGCCATGGCATTCGTGAGAAGAGAGGTGTGGGAGGGGGAACGAAACCAACTCGCCAGGGAGAGGAACTCGGAGCGAGAAAACGAGTTCGGGGGGAGGTGCAGGGCCTTGTGGAGACCCCAGAGTTCACGATCGTTCAGAGCCTTCTCGGCTGGAAAGAACTGCGCCACATATGACGTTTAATTGAGCACCGCAGAATTGTACAATCGCGATACCAGGTCGGCAGACGACTGCAGCTCACCAAGCTTCATGCATCTAGCACTCCACTTCAAGGCGGGAGCCTGTCACTCATCAACAAGAGTGGCCTCGGCGCCCTGCCATGCCCCGAAATACTTTGCCTTCACACAAATGGGCGCCGGCGGTAAACCGTCAACCTACTTACCGCCGGGGACCTCGTAGAGCTCTTTTCTTGCCCAGCTCCTCGGAACACGTGAAGCAAGCTTAAGCGAGAGCCAAAAAACTCTACAACATCGGTCGCATACAAATAATTTTGCGGACTTAGCTCGATAAGCAGACTCTATTCAGAGCTCTAGGTGCTTCGGCCAAACGCCCTTGATGATTCTGTATCGGTTTCTGTGCGTACCAGCTCTGTAGCTGTGCTACAGCGTGCAGAATACCGACAGCGCCTCTAAAGAGATCTTGAGAAATACGAATAGCGTTGTGGACCTAGCTCGAGTAGCAGAACGAGTTCAGGCCTCTCGATGCAACAGACGCACGCGCCTGGTGATACTGAATCGGTTTATGTGCGCACCAGCTCTGTAGCTCCTCTGAATCTTGAGTTGAGTACAGAAAACCGACATCACTGGTCAAGATGACTCGAATAACACAAACAGTTTCACGGATCTAGCTCGAATAGCAGACCGAGTTCAGGCCTCTGGGTGCAACAGACGAACGCGCCTGATGATTCTGAATCGGTTTCTATAAACATCAGCTCTGTAGCTCTCCGAAATCTCGAGTTAAGTACAGAAAACCGTGAACGCGTTTCAAGATGACTCGGAACGCAGTTGGTTCCAGCAAATCTTTTGAGAGTAATATTGCAGCTACGGACCTGAGAATTTAACTGGCAGACGCGGCATAACCCACTACACGTGAGAAAAAAAACTGGTTCTCAAAATGAATTGTCAAATATTTTTCAAATATTAGCAAAACCGACCCAAAGTTGTCACATTGTCTCTTCTGGTCGGGTCGGCCAACTAGCTCCACCCCGCGCCGGAATTCCTCTAGCTCATCGGTGCCGAAGAGCTCTACGAGGTATTTGAAAAGTGGCCCATCCAGGAGCCTACACTCGCAGCTCCGCCCGAAGCTGCTCGGCGAGGGCGGGGGGTGAGTGAGGTCAAGAGGGGGACGATAACGCATCTTATCGGCTGCAAGCGGAGGCATGCGACCTGCTGCGAAGCAAGCGGGCGGAGGAGGAGGAGGAGGAGAAGGAGGAGGGAGGAGGAAGGACGAAGAGGAGGAGGTGGAGGCGCACCATCACGCGTGCGGAGCTTCGACCGCCTGCCTCAAACCAGAAAAACATGCGTTGGCCAGCGTTGCGTAGCCTTGTCGATGCCAAGCCCCAAGGGGGCCGATGTGGCGGCGGGTGCCTGCACCGTATGTTGATGGGCATTGCTATTCAAGGTGACTGGCGTACCGTCAGGAATACCCTTATGAGCTCTCTCGTCCTCTTGCGCCCGTACTGTGTTCTTCACTGCCGACTCTTGCCCCGATGTTGCGAAAACACTTACGGATTGGGACGGCCACGAGTAGGCGTATCCCTTCTTTGTACCATTGCAGCGCTGCCATGACTTCCAGCGGGGACAGGGTTACATGCTCCACAGCAGGACAGCCAGGCAATCGTCGTCCTTTGCTCGTGAGGTGCGTCTGGTGTTGCAAGCCTCTCCCCCTCGCTCCTGTGCACGCGCATGTATGCGTATACACACATCAATACATCGATGCATACACAGATTTTTATATATAGTTATGCAACTGCATACTAGATGCACCTGCTTAACCTGCGCCTGCTCTGTATCCAGCCACCGTTATGCCCGGCAGATATACTGGTTACGAATCGAATGCCTTATGAGCCGAGCCGAGCAGAGCCGAGGAGAAAGAGGGTGATGAGGATAAGCATGTTAAGAAAGGTTGCTCCCTGTGTCCCTTTCTAGTTTCTCAGTTCCGCTTCTTCAACGAACTCCTGGCTCACGTCAGCAACCAAGCCGATTTCCTCGAAATTTCCAGGGGCCCACCATGAGCTGGCCATTCGCCACACCACTCCCTTCACTGTCGTCGTCGTCCTCCTGCTCTTCCTCCTCCTCCTTTTCATCCTCCTCTCTCTCCTCCTCCTCCTCCTCCTCCTCTGTCTCCTCCTCCTCCTCCTCCTCCTCCTGTCTCCTCCTCCTCCTCCTACACGACTCGGATTTTGGCTATCCATGCAGGCTGTGGTGTCAGATGACTTTCCCGCGGGGTGTTCCTTCGACACCTTCTACGATCAGATGCACTCAGTGTTCCTACTGGAACTGTGGGTTTGGGAACACCCCACCGTGGAGCCCTCCATTTTCATAGATGGCTTTATGCTGGCCAACATGGACGCGAACGGGCACCGCCTCGTTGCCGACCTGGCCACGACAGCATGCTTGATTTAGTCGAGGAGGACTTTGATTGCACGGCTGCTCAACACAAGGCAACAATTTTAGGATCGTTAGTTGCAGTCCAGAAGAAGCTTGCCAAAGCGCTGGGCAAGTACCCTGGACCACTAAGCGATAATCAGGTATTATCACCAACCCTTGGAGTCGCTTTCACAGCAGTGGCCCCCATCAAGAAGAAAACCCTCGTGGCCTCCAAAGAAAAGAAGGTGAACCTGAAGAAACGTCTCCAGCGTTTGGGGTCCCTTGGACGAGCAGGGGCCATCATGGGGAAGAATTGCCTCACAAGTTTGAAGGCGGCCGCCTACTACGGCACCAAGATCGTGGGAACGACAAATGCCGAGCTCCGCGATGCCAGAACCCTTTATCTAAGATCGTGAAGTCCAAATGTTCAAACCCCACACAGGTCTTTAGCATGAATTAATCATGGAGATCCGACTTGGAGTGCCGCTATGGGGCCGGCTTGCTATTGGGCAAGCCTGATCTGGAGGACGGCGAACTACCCTAGTACGGGGGCCTTCATGATCCCCAACCGTCGGAGGCAAGCATAGAACGTGATCCAGAACCCGCCAAAGCACTGGTACCAACGCAAAGGGCCCCTTACAGCTTACGGCCACTCCCTTCTCTCTTGAGCGTCTGAGATGGTCTATGCCCGACCCGTTTGTGTTCCAAGACGCCGCTGGCCAGAAGTTTCCCCTAATCAGTACCTCGCCCGACCTCATCAAGACAATGTCCAAGAGCACTGACACAACCAACAACCAGCTGCTGTTGTCCGCGTCGGTGAAACCTGGTCTGGAGGACCCTGTAGACGTATCGTTCGCGCGGGGGGCTTTGAAGGACGAGCCTGCGAAGCCAGCACCTCCAAGACAGGGATGTTCAGACTCCCCTGGCCAAGAATCGTGTCTACCCCCTCGTCGTTGGGTTCCAGACATCGCCCGAACCAGTTGCTGTGAGAGCCCCTGGACTTGGTCACCTTTCGACGAAGTGTTGGACGATGGACAGATGAGATATTGCTGAGGGCATGGTAAGAGACATGCTCCATGATGTGATGAATTTGAAGCCATAGTGACAGCTTTGGCTCAAACAATGACCCGCTGAAGCAATGACTGGCTGACGGCTGCCGAATGTCGGCTGACTCCGGTCGGCTGCGGCTGGCGGCTGGCGCTGCGGCTGCGGCTGGCGCTTTCCATCGAAATCTGCTCACGCCTTGCGCAGCAAAACAGCCTACCATTTGGTTCAGCGACATCGCCCAACACTGCAGTCTTGGTCGCCCAATCGGAGACCGATGATCCAGATTGCACATGTGAGGGAGGAGTTCATGCACTCGAGGCTAATGTTCGATTGCTCCAGCAACAAACAGCCGAACAACAGAACATCGAATGCAAATTGCGGTCGCTGGAAATCTTGTTTCTGAAGGCTTCCGCGGACGATGTTGTGCAGCTAATCAACGACTTGAGGAAGATCATACAAGGTCCTACATGTCTAAGATTGTACAATGACGACATCACGCCACCCGCCACATGAGAGCCTGAAATATGAGAGACCCCGAAGAAACATAAAAGTGTATGTGTGTGCGTGTGTGCGTGTAATGAAATACACACACCTGAGTCTTATAGGTTTATTACCCGGACCCCCTGGACGCCCTTGGAAAAAATCTGCTGGCCCTTTCCGGGCCTCCCGGGGCGCCTTGCCAGGCGTTGCGAGCAGACTCAAGGCGATCATAGGGGTCATCGGAGAGGCGTAAGAAATATCCAAGACAGCACAAGAGCGCGCAAAGAGGAACCTGGATGGTCTGAAGACGGCCCACGAGGCCCCCAAAACGCCCCAAGAGGCCGTTAAGAGAGCCCCAAAGAAGCAAACGGCGTCAAATCCTTCCAGGAAATGCATATTCTTAGAATACCAGCATTTTGGATCTTCGCAGCGTCCAAGACGCCCCGATGGGCCCCTGATACAACCCCGAAACGGCTCAAGAGGCCCCCAAAGGGTATGAAGACGGCCCAAGAAGGCCCCAAGACTGCCCCAGAGAGCCCCGAGACTGCCCACACGAAGCCCAAGATGCCCCCAGAAGGCTCCCAGGAGAGACCCACGAAAGCCATGGGAGACCACCAAGGAAACCACTGGAGGCCCCAAAGAGGGCCCTAGATGGCCTCAGAAAACCTCTGGAGGGCCCCAGGTACCCAAGACGGCCCAAGAAGGCGCCAAGACAGCCCAAGGGGCTCCAGGACGGCCCACAAGAGCCCCCAAAACGGCCAGACTGCGTTCCCCTACGGAGACGATCTTGGTTCCACGCCTGCGGCCCGAGGTTTGAGTTCCTCGATCGAGAGAGACAGGTAATGGATTTAGGTTCGAGATCCAACGATCGAAGACTTCCTGAATGTCTGGAACAATCCAGGCACCCAGGAATCGACCAAGCATGGAGTTGTTCGGAGCTGCTGCGACTTCTTCGGCGTGCCATGGGAACGCTCCTTACTTCCTCAAGGGACCTTCGCGCGTGAGAACACATCATTCCTTTCCCCATCAGTGCGCACAAGCGTGCAAGCGCATCGGGCGAACGCGGTGTCAGCAGGCACCAGGGGTATCAGACAAATGAGCCAGTCGCCAGTCCAGGCCTCGAGGTTCCGCCTTGCTGAAGCAAGCGATGATTGATTCCGTCGCCAGGGAAGCGTCCCGAACAAGACTGCATTGGCGCGACGCGCCAATGCAGTCTTGTATATGTATATGTATATGTATATATATATATATATAGATAAGCAGCCTGGGGATTACGATCGCGATTCTAACAGACCGTGCTTGCATGGCTGGATCCTGAGGTTTTCGGGTCCACAGACACCTTCCATCCGGGCGATGTGGTGTGCGTCATCCAAGAGATCCTCTCTTACGACACTTTGCGCATTTGGTGTAAGACAAACAGGAAAGGACAGGTCGCTAAGGTCGACAGCGATGGCAGAATTTCGTGTACGACGTGGAACGTTGGGTGCATAGTTCTGATTTCTTCAACCTCCACCTGAGGCGACAAAAAGCATTCGACTGTATACCTATGTGTGTTACTCCCCGTGCGACTTGTAGTCTTGTGATTATCGTGTCTGCTCTCCGTTTGCTTCCCATCACGACATGTCTCCCTAATCCATCTTGCATCACGCTCGTGCCGACTTGCTAACCGTCTCCAGATCGAGACAGTGAAAGCTCACCAATCCTTGGTGAGCTGCAGCATGGTACGCAATACTGTTGCCTAGTAGCGGGCAACGGCTGGGCGGACAGGAGTGCGAAAACTGCAGCAGTTGCGGTTCCAGGACCGTCCGCCTAAGAGCTCGACTTTTTAGAAGTCGAGCAAATTACTGAGGCGTTTCCACAAGTATGCTGCCGGAGCTTTGACAATGTGGGCCCCTCATGCGCCCAAGGCTGGGAAGAAGGCCTTTGAGAAGCCTACCCAGAGTCGGAGCGCACCAAGGCTGGGGCCGCCATAACTTGTCTCGCGCCACCCCGCCGCCCGAGGGAACCCGAGAAGGCCAGAGGGCTCCGAGGGACCCCCAGGCCAAGCAGTTGCACGTTTGGAGCTGGCGAAAAAGGCAATGGCTCTGCTTGACGTGTCACACGTGTGCGCGTACAAGCAGCACGCGCAAATCGAGAGCCCAGGAGATATGTCCTGGAAACGCCGCCTCCCTGTCTGCCCTCGCCAAAGCTCCGAAAAATAAAGATCTCATTGTGTGTGTGACTATTTGGCTGTCCAATCCGTTCTTGTGGGTTGCCGCTCTTGTGGACAGTACACGGAGAGCAACCTAGGGGGACTGCAGCAGAGAGATCAGAAATACTGTCTCGAAGGGAGCGCGGTCGCTCATACAGCGCGGGCGACACCCCAAAGACTCCAAGAAACCAACATCCCACCTCAGCCGCCCGATTCCCACCACCCAAGCTTCACAGAGGAGGGGTCCGAGCGGAGGAGTTTGATCACAGGCATGCGAGTGACAAGAATGAGACTATGGCCATCGGAGACTAAGGTTTCGGTGTGGGTCGGGTCGGCCAAACCCTTGCATTCCTCCTGAAGCTGTGATGGTAATCCTCCTCCTCCTCTCTTCCCCCCCCGCACACTGTCTCCGCCTTCTCGTCCTCCTCCGCTTTCCTTGCTCCCCCTGGTCGCACTTTCCCCCCCTTCCCCTCCTTCTCCTCCTGCTCCTCCTGCTCGTCTTCTTTCTCCTCCTTGTCCTCCTCGACCTCGATTCTCCTTCCTACACAGAGAATAGACTCTACCCCCCCGGCGTTATCCGCCCCCCTTTCGGGTATGTAAATCATATATGAGTCTGACCACATGTCCATCCTAGATATGAATTTACAATATCCCGGGGGGGCCAGGATCGCCCCCCCTGAGGTTCCCTTGCAAAGCAAAGAAAAACGATACGCGGGGACATCTTTCTTCTAACATAAGACGTTTTCACGAACCCCTTGCAAAAAGTATGACGAAGTGCACACGCGCGCGTCGTCGCGCGCGCATGCCGAAAAAACTTCAAAAACCTTCGGTGTCGGAAGGATATCGCAATCGAGTTTCCAAAAAACATACAAAAACACAGGGTTTCGCAACACTGATGCGCTAAAAAAGCTTACGCGCGAGCCCTTGCCGAGTCTTAAGGAAATCATGGTTTTCAACAATTTCACAAAATGCTACTCAAAGGGCTTCGCGCGCGCATGTCGAAATCTGTCGAACGCCCTTGCGCGTGTGCCGTCGCGAGAATCCGCTGCAACAAATGGGACGAAGTGCAGACGCGTGCGTCGTCGCGCGCGTATGCCGAAATCCTTGCAAACCTATCGGTTTCGGAAGGATGTCAACATCATGTGTCCAAAAAAACTCCAAAAACACAAAGGTTTCGCAACACGGATCTCCAACAAAAGCGTGCGCGCGCGCTCTTGCGTCGTCGTCGTCGTCGTCGTCGCCGTCCTCCCACCCCCCGCGTCGTCGTCGTCGTCGCCTACGTCGTCCTCTGTCTTTCCTCGTGTTCGTCGTCGTCCTCTTTGGCGTCGTGGTCGTTTCCGTCGTCGTTGTCGCCGTGGTCGTCCTTCCTCATCCTCCCTCGTCGTCGTCGTCGTCCGTCGTCGGCGTCTCGTCGTCGTCCCCCCTATTTCGTCGCCGTCGTCGTCGTCGTCGTTGTCGTCGTCGTCTTCCCTCCTCCCTCGTCGTTGTCGTCGTCGCCGTCGCCGTCCTTCCTCCTTCTTCGTCGTTCGCGTCGTCGCCGTCCTCCCTCCTCACTCGTCGTTGTCGTCGTTGTCGTCGTTGGCGCCGTTGTCGTCCTCCCTCCTCCCTCGTCGTCGTCTTCGTTGGCGACGTCGTCGTCGTCTTCGTCGTCGTCGTCGTCGGCGTCGTCTTCGTCGTCGTCGACGTCGGCGTCGTCTTCGTCGTCGTCGTCGTCGGCGTCGTCGTCGTCGTCGTCGTCGTCGACGTCGGCGTCGTCGTCGTCGGTGTCGTCGTTGTCGTCGTCGTCGGCGTCGTCATCGTCGTCGTCGTCGTTGTCATCGTCGTCGTCGTCGGCGTCGGCGTCGTTGTCGTCGTCGGTGTCGTCGTCGTCGTCGTTGTCGGCGTCGTCGAAGTCGTTGGAGACGTCGTCGGTGTCGTCGTAGTCGTTGTCGGCGGCGTCGTCGTCGTCGTCGTTGTCGCTGTCGTCGTCGGCGTCGCTGTCGTTGCCAAGTGCCATTTGGTACCCACCGTCACGGTCTTAAGAAATTTTGAAAGCCAAGTTGCGGGTGGGTGGGTGGGATGTTTGCGCGAGCAGTGGAGTGGACAATTCACTGCGAACAGAAATTATCTCCACCTATAGGACCTACACGTCTTTTTCTCCGTCGCAATGTTGGCTCTCACCCTGTGGGCCCCTGGAAGGTGCGAGCTCCCTATAAACATCGGCAGGATGTAAGCACAGGGTGCTTCACATTGGGGAGCGGTGCCGCCTTCCAGCCCCACTGACCCCTAGCTGCTACGCTTCGAGCAGGAGCTCATTGAAGGACCCCCTGCTTCTTGAATAACTCCACCAGCCCTCTGGGCGTAGGCGGTCTAGCGCATCAACTCCCCCAAACCCTTTCATCCCCCGAGGGGGGGGGAATTTACCCCTCCCACCACCCTACGCTGCACTGTCTCCCTCCCTGTGGCGAAACCTTCTGGGTGCCGCCTGTGGCCGCTTGCTCCTCCACCTCGACACTTCAATTACGGCGCTTAGAGTTGAGATGGGCGATGGGCAATACGATTGTTCTCCTTCATTTTCAATTGCCCTAAACAATCACTCTTTTCTGGCGCCTGGCAGTTACAATATGTGAACAAGGTATACAGCAAAGCGCGTGCCTACGTCTGACATGTGCCAGAGCATGCAACGCAACAGAAAAGGCGGGCCAAATCAAATTCCCGTAAGGGACCCAAGGGCGTGACAAGCAGTGCAAGGTAGCCTTGGCAGAGCAGAGTGAACGACATTCGCGTTTGCCTCTGAGCTGCTAAGCATCATCTTCGACACCCTGCCCTGTGTTCAGATCGTGACACGAGGCCGACTTCCAGAGTCAGGGACTGCAGCAAAGGGTTCTGGATCCTCATCCAGGATTATGGTGATGGTGCGGTTAATGCCTTCGACACTGAGATGGGAAACGTGTCCGGCCGAGGACTGCTCGGGAGCCCTCTCGGCAGAGCACGACTGCTGGACTCGCCCACTGTATGTACATCCAGCGACTCTCGTTCAACCGAGAAGAGACCACCAATGCAAACACATAGACAAAGCGGCGCGGCACTGGCCACAATTCCTAACGTGGTCTGGACGCCCACGGCAACGGTCAACAATGATCATGTTGGCGACGGATGCGCGCGGTTACGCTTTTTCCGTCTCGCTCCGCATCGCGATAGGGAGTCTAATAACCTCGGCGGTGTCACTGGATATTCTCAATGCCCTCGGAATTGGCCGGGCCCCCCAGTTCTGGAAATTCTTGGGCGCTTTTGGAATCCCAGCGGGACCTTTGAAAAGGCCTCGGGAGCGCGATTGGGATACTGATTCCACACTTCTAACATGGCCTAATGTAGTCCCAGGGCCCGTCCTGGAGCCCTCTACGGCGCCTCTTGGGCAATTTTTGGGGCCCTGAGGGCCAGCCCAAGAAGCCAAAGTCCGCCGACCCCTTGTGGGTCTGCAGACGTGTGAGATAGTTCCCCCTTCAATCCCCTGGGGACCCCAATTTGACATGTTGCTCCCCCCCCCTCGCCCCCGACGACCGCCAGGTGAACTCATCACGGGGGGTCATTTCCCCCTGGGCTTCTTTTGACGCTCCAAGACGGCCCTTGCGGGCTCCAGCGCATGTGAGAAAGCCCGAGGGCAATTCAATACAGCCCCGTCACGGGTCCAAGAGACTCCGAAGATGGCTCAATATGTTTCCGAGACAGCCTTCGAGGCTTCGACGACACCCCAGTAGGGCTCCAATGGCTCCCCAAGAGAGGCCCCAGGGGTAAAATGTGATACTTTCCTTTAGGTGTTCTGAATTGTTAGCATTTTCGCTCGTTCCGCTTCCTGGTGAGTCACAGCATCCCAAGTCGCTTCAAGGATCGCCCCAAAACGGCCAACGAGGTCCCAAAGAAGGTATCGATCCGACCTAAAGGGGCCCAAAGACAGCCGAATGGCCTCCCCAAGAAAACCACCAGAGAGGTCTGGGTAAGGGAACGCTCACCGCCATTTCCAGATTTTCCCCCAGGATGGCGCCCACGGCCTCCGATATGCGCCCGATGGGAAGACGAACAGAGAGAGAGAGAGAGGACATAAGACAGATGAAGGTGCAACCATCCACCTCGCCGACCCTGGCCAGGCCGATCCTGGTCCTGGCCAGGATCGGTGAGGGAAACCCGAAGTGACATTTCGAGCCCTCCCCCCCAAAGGGCCTCCGAGACCGCCAGCACGCCCCCAAGAATCTCCGTCAGGCCCCCCAGCCAAGGGATCCTCAGTTAGCACCCAAGAGGCCCCAAAGAGGCTTCCAAGAGGCCCCCAAGAGGCTTCGAAGAGGCCCCCCAAAGGCCTATAAGGGATCTCTTGCCCACGACCCAGGCGCCGCGGCGGCATGGCCGAAGGCCACAAGGTCCGCCGCCCCCTGTGGCCTGTCCACATGATCTGTTGGCGTGCCGAACTTTTAACTGTCTTGGTCCTGCCAAAAGGTTCCCAATGTGGTCTCGGCCGGTCCAAATGGCCCACATCTAGGGCCTCCCACCTCTGTGGCCTCGGCCTACAAGCCGGCCACGATGACCTCCAAGACGGCCCAAGACCGTCTCAGATGGCCTTCAAGATTGCCCGAGACGCCTCAAAGGCGGCCCTAGATGACTCCAAGACGACCCAAGGCCCTCAAGACGCCCAAAGATGGCTCCAATAGGACCTGCAGGAGACCAGCATCATGTCTTCCTATTCGGTTTGTTCCCATCCATCCTATGGTGTTGGGTCCTCGTTCTGAAAGAAGAGGCAGTGCATCGCGTTCCTCTCCTCCTCTCCTGCTCCTCCTGCTCCTCCTCCTCCTCCTCCTCCTCCTCCTCCTCCTCCTCCCCCTCCCCCTTCATCATCACCATCCTCCTCCTCCTCCTCCTCCTCCTCCTCCTCATCATCATCATCATCATCATCATGATCAACATCATGATCGTCATCATCATCATCATCATCATCATCATCATCATCATCATCAGCATCATCATCATCATCATCATCATCATCATCATCATCATCATTATCACCATCATCATCATCATCACCATCATCATCATCATCACCATCAGCATCAGCATCATGATCATCACCATCATCGTCATGGTAAGCATCATGATCATCACCATCATCATTATCATCAGCATCGTCGTGATCAACATCAGCATCAGCATCAGTATCACCATCATCATCATCATCAACAACATCATCGTCCTCACCTCATCATCCGCATCAACATCTCCAGCATCATTACCATCACCAGCATCACCCTCACCACCATCCTCCTCCTCATCATCAGCAGCAGCATGATCATCATCATCAGCATCAGCAGCAGCAGCATCGTCAACATCATCAGCATCATCATCAGCATCATCACAATCGCATCGCTATCACCATCATCATCATCACATATTCATCCTGATCATCATTATCATCAACATCCGCATCAACATCAACATTATCATCCCCATCACCACCAGCATCATAATCATCATCATCATCATCAGTATCACCACCACCATCAGCATCATCATCATCGTCATCGGCATCACCACGATAATCATCATCATCATTATTATTATCATCCTCCTCATACTCATCCGCATCCTCATCATAATCATGATCATGGCCATCATCATCATAACCATCATCATCAACATCATCATCACCATCGTCATCAATAGCCTCCTCATCACCATCACCATCATCAACATCATCATCAACGCCAGCATCATCAACATGTAGAATCATCGTCGTCATCATCAGCATCATAATCATCATCATCATCACTATAGCCCTCACCATCATAATCACCATCATCATCATCCTCATCCTCATCCTCATCCTCCTCCTCCTCCTCATCATCATCTTGTAACCGGCAAAGCTCCTGAGGAGCTCAAAAAGAGCAAACCCCCTATTATTATCGAAAAAATAGAAACAAGTTGCCCCCTATTATTATCGAAAACATAGAAACAAACCGCCCTCTATTAATATCATAAAAATACAGGCGGCATTCCTATATCGCTCGTATTTCTGTATTGTTTCTGTATTAATACAACCCAGCCCAAAGGCTCACAACGTATTGCCGAAAATGCTCAAAATACACAAATAATATCAAAATAATATGAAAACCGCATGCAAACCAGACAAGCTCACAACAAAAACAGCTGATCCCGCGCAGCAGTGGATATAACCAACAGGGAACGGATCGTGTGCAGCGCTTCCTCTCTTCCTCCACCTCGTTTGCTTCCCTTCCTTTGTCGTTTCCTGCCGTCGTCCCTCCTCCCCGCCCCCTCGTCCTCGCCCACCCCTGCCTACCGTCGCCTTCCTCCTCTGCTCGTCCACCTCCCTTCCGGCCCCCCCACCCCTTCTAAGACTCTTCTCATCCTCCCCCTCTCCTGTTCTGGCCCCTGCCTGAGCAGAACAATCGACGCGGCCGCCGCGCGCCGGGCTCGCCGTCGCGTCTGCCGCTGCACTGCGCGCGACGCGCGCGACCTATTTGACAGAAAGCACGTCGGAGCAATGCTGGGAAAACGCGCAAACAGTGGTTTGCCCGAACCCATGAACCAGGCGCCCAGAGCACGTCGCACTGTTCCCACTCCATGAAGAAATCAGCATTGCTAGCTGCTGCTACAAAGCTGCCACAACCAGGTCGCTGACATGCGACTCGAGCGCCTGCCCGAGCGTCGCTGCCACTAGGTCACTAGGACTAGTGACGAGTGACTAGGCCCCCCTGAAAGGATTTGCAGCGTTCGTTGCTCCCACCAGGCCGACTTGCATGAGTCATGAGGTTTGCCTCAATTCGGTTCCAGCGCCTCCAAGCGAAGTAGAGATCAGCGTTGCCACGCTGGATCCCACCGGGCATCACGAAACAAAAAATGTCGCAACGCCGAGTTCGACTCCAATGCCTGCCCGACTGCGAGCATTGCCAGCAGCTGCCAGCATTGACCCTGCCAAGGCACATCAGAGGATTCCAGCTCGAGCTCGTTGCCCCTGCCATGCCGCACGCGTGGATGTTTGCCAAGAGTTCGGCCCCAGTGGCGCCAGCGCCTGCCCGACTTGTAGAACTGGTAAACGGTAAACCCACCGCCCCTGCGGGTAGCAAGCCATCCTGGATCATCCTGACTCAACATGCACCAGGCCACAATGGCACAATGGCAGTCTGCCGTGCCGTAATTTGCTGGATCTCCCGATCGGCCCGAGCGCGACTTGGACTTGGAATGAACCAGCATGGCGCCAGCGATGGCCCAGGCCAACGCCCGGGCCTGCCCATGCCCCGCCCAGAAGCTCTGGGTGCAAGACATGACCGCGCTCGACGTCGACGAGTCCGACTGCGCTTGGCTTGGCGTTCGCCGGGGCTGCGCCGGGGCCGGCGCCCTCCAGCCTCGCGCAGAACGTCGCCGCAGTGCGCGGCCTGGGCCCGTCAAGCCAACTGGCACCCCAGCACTGACGTCTTCAGCGCCGAGGGCCGCCAGCCGAACGGCCGAGAACAAGGGGAACTAGATCCTGACAGGTCTCCGAAAAGTAGGTAATCCCTCCGGCCACCCTCTTTGCGCGAACTGGAAAAATAGGTGTTCTCCCGGGGAGATGTATTTTTCTAACTGGAAAAATAAGTGTTCTCCCGGGGAGATGTATTTTTCTTATATAATTATAAAGAAATAGAAAAATCATGTGGGAAAAACTATTTTTTTACTATTTTAATAGTTTTTGCGTTTCGTTTTTTTTTTTTTTTTTTTTTTTTTTTTTTTTTTTTTTTTTTTTTTTTTTTTTTTTTATAAAAAAAAAAAAAAATATTTTTTGCAAAAATACAAAAACGCCGAAACTGAAAAAATACCCGCCCGCCCCGGGCGCACCCTCGCCGCGTGCTTCCCGATCTGCTCCCCGGCTCCCCTCCCGGGGGCGGCTCTGCAACCTCTGCGGGCGTTGCCTGGGCGGCCTTGGCGCGGGACATCGTCGTCGTCGTCTGGTCGTCGGGCTCCTCGGCTGGAGGCCCCGCGCCTGTTGGCCGTGCTCTGGCTCCCGAGTTGGAGGCTCCGCGCCTGTTGGCTGCGCTCTGGCCTCCCGCCTGTTGGCCGGGCCCGGGGCCCGCCCGATGCCCGACGCCGCGGGGGGCCTCGGGCCCGTCGCCCCCAGCGCGCGCGACGTCGACGCCAACGGGCGGCGCGACAAGGATAATCAAAAAAGCAGATTGGCCTCGGCCCCGGCCCCTGCCCGAGGGCTAAAGTTAGGCTAAAGTTCGGCTAAAGTCA